TTCAACAATAAAATAGAAATGTTAACAATCCGTTTGATATTAAAAATTTTCTTTTTTTGTATTTTGGAATAGCCACATTTAATTGTATGTAAATCTTAGATTTTATGACTTGAATATTAAACGTTTTTCTGTTCTACAATAACCTCGATTTATTTTTAATTTAAACTTAAAATCCTTAAAGATTGCACGGGTTCCGTCCCAGGTAATTGAAATCGCTATCTCAGATCTAATAGGAAACCATCGAATGGTATCGATTAAACGGAGTAAAAACCATCCGTCGTTGACTCGTTTTCCAGAAAAATAAACAAACCTTCCGCACAAGTTCAATTCCTTCTGACTTGTGTGGCATGCCAGTTACGACCCGATCTCTCTTCCCTGCAAGTACGTAAAGACGTAACAAATGTTGGAAAGAAAGCAATAGATCAAGAATTGTGATATGCTGAGTGGATTAATTTTTTTTGCTAAAAATAATTTTAACGATGAATATCATTAATTTGCAAATTGTTAGTTGCAAACCATTGTACTGATTGTATCAAAGCAACGTCAACATTTAACATCTGCAAACGTCGGAGCTGCTTTACTCTTCCGGATGGCATTCTCTTAAGCAGTCATCCGAGACTGTATACACGAGAGCGCAATCACGTGATGCAAGTTACGTAGCAGTCGGAATACAACAGTGCCAAAAGTGGGCTCTCTAAGCTGACGGACGAGTGCAATTTGCAATATGCATGAAGTTGCATTCGGTAGATGATCACGCTTTCCAAGATCTGATTTCATTGCAATCTTTACATACGTTATAAAAACGCTTTTAGTGAAATCGTCAACAAAATCGAAAAACGTCCAGTAATAATAGCGTAGAATGGATTATCACAAAAATGACGAGAATGTAACATTTAATCTGGTTATACCTTATATTGATTTCTCGAAAATTGAGGCCAAGATTTTTAGATTTTATCGCACGGACGTCATTTTTGAAAACAGTCTTCGATGTACGATGCAAGAAGGGCAGTTATTTTAAATTGAGATGTATTTTTTTTAAACATTCTCTGAAATTGTGATGTATTTTTTTAAACATTCTCTTTCATATTATATATTACAGTACACGTGTGTGTATGAAGACATTATGTTTTAATATCAAATCAAATCGAAATGTAAATATCGGTCTATTTTGAGCTGCAATGGTAAGAAAATTATCTTTTTTAATCAAATAAATCAAAAGGTCTTTGAAAATTATGAAAATTAATTATTACAAATATTTATTAAACGATTATTATCATTATCAATACAAATGATACTGCTCTAGAAAATTGAAAATATTAAAACCGTTTATTTTCGCTTATGATTCTGCGTGGATATTATATTAAATTGTGCTTTGTAGTGCATCATATAAATCCAATTTCATTGTATTTCTGGAATTAATAGAAAATTTCATAATCGCATATGGAATATTGAATATTCTAATTTACGAGTATAATATTGTTTGAGAGTTTTTTAAAAATATTCCTTGCAAATAATTTTCAATTATCGGAAAACTGTCATTTGAATATCAATAAAGAAATCTAAAATTAAGTAAAATTAATACAAACAAAATCTTCTCTTTCGCGATTTAAATTTGCACGAATTTATACGTTTATCCCATAATTTCGAGATACTTCGCACTAATCGCGCAAATCTGCGGTTATTAACGCAGTGCACGCGCAGACATAATCAATAAGAAGGGGGCGAGAGGAAATTATTTCCAAGTTCTCGAAATGCCGTCAGACATAACATCGTGACTATCGTAAATCTTACGAAAGAAATTTCTTCCGCTCACGAAAATAGCCCCCGGGTAAAGTAAACAGTAGAGGGAACAGCCGAGACGGTGGAGAAGTTAAGGTAATGCGTGGCTAATGCGAATTCCGCGGTAAAGTTTTATTAAATTATATTCTACTCGGCGAATTCAAATTATCTCGGATACTGCGCCTGCGAAGGCGCGCGTGTATATCTCGTCAGACCGTGGGAGACATGTTTGTGTGCGCGAGAACTGGGGTAAATCATGGAAAGTGGACTACACAGGATTTTCCTCCCGTATTTTTATTTTTGCGTGCAACGTCGAGTATCGCTGGACGCACAGTATGGGTATCGTGATATACATCCATTTAAAAGTAAATAGGGGGAAAAAAAGATAAAAACCTTTTTCAAGTAAAGCTATTAGCTTCGTAAAAATTCCTAAAAATATAAAACTTTCTAAAATAGATTATTTAGAAATACCATAATTATCTCGCGCGGTTTAAAACGAAAAATCTTTAAAAAATAGTATTTTTGTTATTCCCGCGAGTTGGAAAAAAATCGCTACACAATTTGCGAGTTTTGATTCAGCTGGTTGGTATTCACTCTATTGCATGGCGCAAGATAAAAGAATAGCTCTGCTCATTTTGATTCAGCTTTTACAAATATTGCGCGTGCATTCAATGCATTTTCGACAAGTTTTCACTCCACCTTCCACCTTCCTTTCATCCCTTCCTTTCATCCCTTCCTTTCATCCCTTCCTTTCATCCCTTCCTCTTTCTCGTTTTTGCTCGATTTTCCCAAAGACTTCTCGCATTCTATCGTCAAGATTGGCATTCTTGCGCACCTCGCGAGAAAGACCAGCGCGAACCAGCTCGTTCCATCAACCCTTCCCTCGACGATCCGATGCGATGGCGAGAATACGGTATTGCGGCTGGTAAGGATGTGCATTTCTCTGCCTAAGTTTAAATTGTGTACTCGAGGAAACGATTCGCCCAACTATTCGAGCAACTTTTAATACGACCGCTGCCCGCCCGCAAAGTATGATAATCAGCCGGTTCTTCCACTCGCGAATAGAAAGGTAGCGGCGAGACAGACAATTTCGTTCGATTTTTTTTTTAAGACACGCGCTTTATGCATTTGACGAGAGAAGAAATTGAATTCGCGAACAATAAAAACGTTTTACTCTAGCCGGAAACAGATATTGGAACGTGCAGTTTCTGTAATAATTTCCAAGAACAACTTTTATTTTTAAGGAGTTTACTCTAATCGTGAAGAAGAATAATATTGTATAATCATTTAACATTGCGCGCTGATTTATAAAAGCGATTTGTCGCCTACCGCCGGTCACGCACCCGGAAGAAACTAGTATGAAGTCAATTTAAGAGTCTTAATTGGACGGACGCGTCGCGACGATCTCGCGGCTTAATTGCAAATTAGTGTCGAGTGCAACCTGTTGCTGGGACGGGACCGGATTTGTCGTTCGGTTTTAAGCTATGACGATTGAGTTTCCTCGAAAGAGAGAGATATATTACTCGTCGTCTCGCGCTTTTTGCTCCAATCATTCTTGCCGTCACGTAGTGCCGGTAATAACGAGGGTCTCGTTAGTTGCTAACGAATTGTTTGGATACAATCGCGCGAATCCCCGGCGAACGTGCTCCTCGCATTCATTAACATTCGAAACAGGCCGCTTGGATTCCGAATGCTTTGATACCGCGGATTAAGTTGATTGGATCGCATTATATGAACGGCTCTCCGGAAACGAGGTTAACGGATGGTCGCATGGAGAGGGGGAAAGAGAGAGTGAGAAAGAAAAAAGCAAGAAGGAGGAGGAAGAGAGTGAAAGTGCGGCAATATTCGTTCCGTGACTTATAGCGAGCAGTTTTCGCTGAAAATTAAAGCCCCAGATTGTCCGGATCGTTTTGATCAAAGTCATAAAAATTCATTATCAGCGCTAGATTCAAGAATTCAAAGATAAAGTTCGTTTGCAAATCTCGAAAAAAAATTAGAATTATAAATTTGTTAAAATTACTAATTACGGTATTTGATCGACAATGTAATTAAAAACATAAAATGCGGAAAATTATTTCTATAAAAACATTAGAAAACTAAGCTGAATTAAATTTTATCTCTTTTTTTTATTGCATTTTTTTATTGGATATGTCAGATGTAACTTACATTTATTCTATATACTGTTGACGTTCTAAGTTCTTATAAAGAGTATACAAGTTAAGATTTATCTTAAAACAAGATTTTTACTTACAAAAGACGTCTGTTGCATTCAAATAACATATGAAACATTAAAATACACATAAACAAACGTAAACATTAAAATTGCACAGAAAATAAAAATCGCTGGGAATATTTAATCAAATTTTCATTCATTTAACATTGATATGTGGTATCTAACTTGATATTCAAAATATTCAAAGTAATGTAAAAACAAAGTTATCTGTTTTCGAATAGTTAACCTTCAGATAATGAATTGCCAATCACACAGTAGATATAGGATACATTTGGACTCATGATTGAATTTCGTTTTTATGCTCTAAAGAGAGATAGTGAAGATAAGCGAGAGGAAAAATAGTATTCTTATCTTTAGTAATGTAAATAAAAGTGCAATCGTAATGGTGACGTAAATAGTGTGGAAAAAGATAGTTTTGAATGGATCTGATACATTCACCAGGCGAGAATTAAATAAACCAGAGCAATATAAAACAGAGTAATTTCTAAAATTTTATTATAAGCTATTTCTGTGCGTACTAAAATATTAAAGATGTTAAATATGGCATTCATTAACAAGTTGTTTATACTAAAATGTTAACGATATTTAATATTAATTATGATATAAATAGGAATATCATAATATGAAATAACTATTTCGTAATCCTGAAGCAGGCCGAAAGTAGCAAAGGCCAACAATAACATATATCCTATCATCGCAAAGCTTAACAAAAATAAATTTCCAATATGATAAAAATACTTCTGCAGAAGCTGAAGTTAAGATAAAAATAGTCAGAAAGCCTTTCGCGCGATGTCTTTGACTCTTGAAAAGTATCTCTGACATGTACAGATCATAAGTCTTATTCTCCTGAGGTCGATTCTCAACGAATCTAACAAGATCAGTTCGCGAGGCTTCTGGTCTTCCCGCGCAGCAAAAGCTATCATTTTCTCGATACATTTTCGACGACGGAAATACAAACAAAAGATAAAATCACAAACGATCCAAAAAATCCTGTGCAATATATCGCATTATCATTTATTGATCTTATTTCTTTCCATTATATTGTGTAATACAATAGTATCAGGCGTATTGGTGTACACTTATTTTAGCACAAAACGCAGCTATATATGTTTGCTTATTATTGAGAAATTATCACAAAATAATAAATAGCGAGAAGCAAAATTGATTAGAAAAATTTATCACAAGCCCAAAAATTCGGCGGTATTAAATCTCGGCAGTACAATATCATTGCCGTCAAAATATGTTAGAAGAGAAACAGATGAATAAATAGACGGACAAGTAAATAGATAGATAAATAGAAAGACAAATGGACTAATAATCAATATATAGATATGATTAAATACTTTTATTTATTTGACCGCCCTTCGTATCGGATCGATAAGAAATTGCTCTATACGAGCATGTTGCAGTCATGTCCGTCCCACTTCTCCGGTTTGGTGAATATCGATTAGCAGGTCTCAGCAGTTGTCTGACCTTGATATGGTAGCAAACCTTCTTGCGTAGCATCAGATTTGCAAAGCCGTAACATGTTTTAAAGTCAGCAAAAAAACGTCTCACGGGATTCCGTTCAACGTCGACCATCGATTATATTCAACTGGTGTAATCGATATGACAATTATAATATTTTATGAACTACAAAAAAAATTGGCAATTGTTCTCAGTTATTCATTTTGTTGTCACATTCTTCCTTGAGACATTTTGCGGCGTGATGAACTGTGTATTTATTTGAACAATTGTGTATTTTGCATATTGGCAGCAGATCATCACATGTTACTTTCTAGAGTAAATTGAGAAGTTACGTAATTTTTTTAAACTCTAAGCGCACTAGCTTAATCTTTTATATTAACTATATTATCTTCAAGCATACTCTATTCGCTATAGTGTGTAGAATGTGTGTAGAACTTGTTAGGAATAAATATAAACAAAGTACTTGGCACCATTGGGATATCTCAATCTTCTCGTCACGCGATGTAGTGTTAATAGGAACAGTCTTTTACATTTTCGTAGGGATATTGCTCTCCTTTCACATTTCATCGATTTTCACGGAGTCTTTGAAGATCTCTTGGTATTTTCCAAGAATAGTCACTCGCGTGTAACGTAATCACTGCGTAAATATCTTGATGGTAGAAATCCTCTACTGTATACGTTCGATCTCGTCGTATTTTCCAAGAGCAGTCATTTGCGTGTAACGTAATCACTGGTAAATATCTTGATGGTAGAAATCTTCTACTGTGAACATTCCTTCCGCGTACGGGCTCTGCGCCTTTGTCTTTGCCAGATAAAACCCCCGATATCTCCTATTGACATCCTCGCCCATCAGCACCGCGGGAAATCTCGGCGGACAGAGTCCCAGAAGATAAGCCACGAAGCCGGGGCAAGGCCAGCCCCAGAAACCGATTTTCGAGTTGATCGATTCTGAGAAATATTCCGCCGCTCTGTGATGATTGCATCCGAAAGGATTTCCTTCTCCCCAACATCCCGGCTGGTTTACTCCGCCGTTTACGTAAAAGTCGATGTGGCCGCTCGGCTCGATCTTGCCCTGAACGAAAGCGTTGGTATGCAGCACGTCAACAAATTCGGCGTCACTCGCGTCAAGCTTCTCGTCCTTGCCGACGGTGATGAAGAGCGGCATCGCCGGATCGAGACCGGTGATCCTTGGGAGTTGATACGGGTGCAGTACGTTAGCTGCGAATGCCGGCACGTGGGCGCCCAGACTGAAGCCGATCACGTGGATGTCCCTGGCGCCGTAATCTCTCAAACGTTCGACAAGCTGCGCCAGACAGTCACCCACATGCGGCACATTGTGGACGGCTACGGGATAGCACGGTGCCGCCGCCAGACGGTGCCAGTCGACCGCTATGAGATTGTAACCGCCCCTCTTCAAGTACTCGGTTTTGATGTCCACCAAGTAGCTTAACTGCATGTCCGAATTGTAACCGTGCACGATGATCTTCGTGGGCAACGCCGCAACAAAGTTGGTATCGGCCAAGTTCGAGTCGGTGTCGTTCACCAACAGTTGTTGGCCCTCTTCCGTATTGTGCTCGGTGTAAAGGAAGAAAGTCACTTCCTCATCGGGACACGTCTGATTAGTATTCACCAGGCACGGTCCGATAAAGAAGTCCTTACCTAACTGGTTATTGTCCACTGTATTGCTGACAACAAAGGTCTGCGTACTCGCGGCTGCGGCGAGTTCAACGGCGACCACGAGGAAAGTTAGAAAAATCTTCCAAGTTGGTGAGCAACCACCAACCTGGCTGGTAGTCGTCATCTCGGATCCGCCGGAAGTTCCACTTTGACCGCGATACCGCGCGAAGATACGTCTGCGAGTGATTCCAAACGACTGTCCGGCGGGAACTGGTTGCCGCAACGATCGGTCGCTTGTCACAGGCGAAACTCCACGACAGAGTGACAGCACATACTGGACGAGCCTCAACGAGCTTGGAATCCCTAAAGAGCACCGCCACACGCGGTGACGTTTTATCAGGTATATACGACAGTTGCGATCGATACGTGCGCGGGGTGAGTCGCGGAAAGTAAGCGTCGCGATTTTCAGTGACGTGGCTTGAAAATTCTTCCGGAAAATTATTAGCGTCGGGGAAAAGTCAGAAATTCGAGTTTTACTACTAAAAGTCTAAAACTGTAGGTTGAGAATCACTGCCGAATATTCATCTCGATAAAAAATTATCAATCGTCACACACATTTTACACGCGCTCGTTATTTTAAGGAAGTTTGAATGATTGATTTCATATCAAATAGCACATTTGTTTTATAGCCTTAACATGTATCAATTTTTTAATCATTTCGAAAATATCAAAAGATATTGATAGAAACTGTATCCAAAAAGATAGAAACTTGATCACGTTTTCAAGATTTAATATTATTTAAGAAGTATTTGTCTTAACAAATACACTTGTATTACCAATCTTTGCAACAGGAAACTACATTTTATCACTATTACTTACTTCAGAAAATTGCGACACGCTTTTCGCTATTCACCATTCTACACACGAAACGACTATTCAACTTTACGTAGGTCGAACCGATGACGAAGTGGAGCGCGTTGCATAATGTTTTGCTGCGCACTTACATTGCAAGTGTCTACTAGTCACGAAATCGATTAAATGTGTTTTGATACCACTTGATTCAACAGCATAATAAAACGTTAACGGCGATCTAACCAATGAAACAATTGTGCGTCTAGCAAAGCCAGCTGTGACGAGCGGGCGATTCAAGAAATGATTGCGGCAATGGTGACCGATCGATGAATGCTTGGGTGCACGATTGGCAGGTTGGAATTCACCCCGTCGACGAATACAGGAGATGATGACGGCACGTGAGCTGTAATGGCACTCGCCTCTTGTCGGACAAATTGGGCATTTCCGAGATACGCGTGTTTCCTTAACCGACGCTTGCCAGAATTCTGTCGTACATCAACGTACATTATACAGTGAGATTTGCTTATATGAAAAGAAAACTTTTATTAATAGCGTTTATAAGCAAATATTTCTCAATTTCTACGACAATAAAATATACATATACAGTAGAATGTAACTTAATAAGTTATCAGTGGAACAAAGCAAAATTATATTTTTAATCGTAAAACTTTTATCCCTCTATTTCTAAATTAACGTTAAAACAACTAATTCGATCTACGGCGTGAAAATAATAGTATTGTGGAATGCACTTGCATGTTTCTAACTCTAAGAGAGAAAAGTAAGTCTAGTTGTAGAAAATACCATCGTGATAATGTTTTTTGAAACAACTTTGAAGCTTTTGCCGCGCGTGGACGCGGCTCGAGCAATTAGAAGTTGATATTTTTTATTTACACGGCGGATATGATAACACGTTCCCAGTATCGCGTGATCAACTCCAATGACATCGAAGGCTACTTTGAATAATGCGCTAACTTCCTGTTACGGCTCGAATCTATTTCACAATAATTGCCGCGATTGTACTACCAAATATCAACGTGAAACTCGAAATAAATGCCATTTCCTTATCGCGGGTAAAGTATTATCGATCGACGTGGAGTTTGCGCATTTCGGAAGAGCTCGTGAAAGTGCACCTTCGTCACTTCCGCTTCGGCAAAACGCGAGGGAAGGTGAAATTTCGTTCGAGTTGGCATGCAGCCTACAAACATATCAATAAACTTTCGCGACCGACGTGGATGTGAATGTTAATCGTGGTCAAAAATACTTTTACGTTCGATGCCACGACCGACTGAAAGTTGGCCCAATTATACGTGTGCATATAATTATCAATAGTATCGATCGCCAGCTAAATAAATTATTCCGTTATTGCCGTATTTCAACAAACGTGCTATAATTGTAGAGGCAAGTACATACTGCAAGTACAGAGTACATAATTAAATTTTATATGGCATAAAGATCAAAAAGAAAAATGCGTCAATTCAAAGGACAATTTTATTTTTATATTATATCAAAAAAATAATGTAATGCGATCATTTTTTATCTATAAATTTATTTGTCAAACATTTTAAACAATGAAGTATATGTAGCGCGTTGTATAGATAATAATAAATTTATAAAATATTTATTGTCTTTTAATTAGTAAAATATTTTTTTATCAGATAAATATTAATTCTCTTCAATACAAATAAAATAAGATATACTTAAATTAAATATTTATTAAATATTTAATAATTATAACATATTTATGTTTATTAATAGCACAAATTAATTTAAATAAATCCTCACATAATTTATTACTTCAATTATCAATAATTAATAATTTATAAATGCTATTTAAAAATGAATAAAGCGACAAATACAATACATAGAATTTTATTTTGAAAAAGATTTACTTATTGTTGAAATGCAATTGAAACTGAAATGGTGGAATGGTGCGATTAGATAAGAGCAATCTCGTTTCTTCGCGGCTTATCATACATTATATGGTAATTGAATAGACTCATGAATGATTTAAATATTTCGTTTAAACGTAAAATTCTGCTTTTCGTCGGCAATCTTTTTCAGTTGAGTCAAGCCTTAACACGAGCTTGTTTGCATAAGCTGTAACAGACTAAAAGAAAAGAAAAAGAAAGAACGAATACTCTCACTCATGTTTTTTTTATATAATCCGCCTATGCTCAACCATTCGTAAAAATTCCCCAAATGTATAGATCAGCAGTGTTTTTTTGTACTGGAAAATATATATTTGTACACGGACGAAAGTATGCATTTTAACCCGCTTTGAGAATATGAATATTCTCTGAATGATAAGAAACATTCGCCATTCAAGTTTATAACACAATTGGGGAGGATTTTTAGTATGTAATTATCAAAATATTTTTTTGTAGAAAGTAAAATGTTATATTTTATAAGAGAAAGTAGTTAACAATTAAGATTTTGTTATAAGAAAATGTATTGTATTACAATTCCATGATAGATTAGAAACCTTCAAAAAAATATAATTTTTTTTTTATTTATTATTTTATAATAATAATATTCAATGTGAGATAAAGCTCAATAAAACATTATTTATATTTAGTCAAAATATAAAAGTTTCAATATTATACATTTTTGCATAGCGACATATTTCAATTTTCACCATGCGTCGCTTAATTACGGTTTAAATTGCAATTACCGTAGATCTCTTATTAATCGTGTTATCACTAATTTTCAAAGAAAATCAATATCGAGTATAGACTTGCCTCAATTTGTGGTGTGTCGCTCTATCAGTCAATTATACCGCAATTTCTATTTTAAAAATGTAACGTAATTCCGTGCTATATGAACATATAATGAAATCGATAATACATGCAAAAATGTTTGAATTAGCTTGTATAATAGCGATCGAATTCGATTTGTTTCAAAATACACGTGTTCGAAGTAGATGCTGTTTTGCACACGACTGCGTTAATTGTCACAGCGCGGCTTCATCGTTGCCTGAATTAATTTCACTAGCTCGTGAGCGTAGCGAATACTAATGTATGCGAATTATTTTGTGATATGTCAATTATTGGTTAAAAAGTTTATGATTTTTCGAGTTTGATTGCCCAGCTTTCCCTTCGTGTTTCTGTTTTAAATTTTTATTTATAACGCAATTTCTTTACATGTTTTTCAATCGTATTCAATTGCAAACTTTTTTGCAACTATTTATTAATAAAATATTAATAAGCGAGTCGCAGAGCAGCAAGGAAAATGTATTTTTCTATTTTTCCGATCGATCGGAAGCTGATTCCCCATCGATAACATTGTCAATTTTTTTGGACTGAAGCCAAAGCATGATGTACTTTTTGTCTTTATATTCTGTATTCTTTTCTGCATTTCCGAGATAGTAGAATATCGGAATAAGAGTGCACATGCAAAACTGTTAGTTAAAGTATGAAATATCAACGTTTATTTTATAAAAAACACGATATAACATAGTTATAATATAATTTGTTATTTTATACTCTCTTATTCACATCTCCTCGTCGATTATGCAAATATAAAATAATTACTGATATTTTCGTTCTGTAGTAAATATAATATTATGATTATAATCATTTATAGCAAGAAATTCTCAATTTCAGTTTTTGCAGAAAAATCTGCTGTTATAAAACGCCAAATAAATGAAATTGTTTAAAGAATAAATATTTTTCTATTATATTCTTCGGAAATTTTACTTGAGTATATGCAATTTCCTGTGCACTTATGAACATAGCAGCGTGGAAGTTTTATGATAAATATTTGACGAAATCCGATTTGTGCTTTATTGCAGTGCGGTTTGACATTTGCTCCGATCTATAACTGTATGATATATAGCTCGTTGCATTGCTTCAATTTATTACTATTTCGCCAAACTCCAATGAACTCACAAGGGAAGTGACAGAATTGTCCCTTTCCGATTTTGACGTACTTTGAATATGTTATAGAGTGGCTATTCTCTTAACATCAAATATACCGTGTCAATTTGAATGGATTGTTTCAACCCCTAAATGTGTGATAACACACATATAAAAAAAATACGTGTTTCTTATTTTTAGCTGTTCTATAACATATTCAAAGCCCGTCAAAATCGCAAATGGGGACAATTTTATCATCTTCTTTGTTAGATATATCTGCGATTCAGCATTGTGTTCAAACTAACTATTGCAGAGAATAGCAGTATTATTCAATATATTCCGAATATACCTTCTTTTTCGCGATATACACATTGCGCTAGCAAGAATGTAGAGAATTTTTAAATCAAATCGCGCATCAAATAAACTGCGATTTAATTGAGTTTATATTTATATTTAGAATTTACTTTCATCTGGCCGTTGCAATCGATAAAATAATTCGATTTTTATTTCTGCAAGCTTTTGGCGCCCGGCACTGGTTCGAATAAATATCGGTCGAGCGAAATTCGACAAAACGACGGTAGGTGAGACTGCATACCGTAGTGATGTACAAATATCTGCATGAGCAGAGGTGCAACAAGCGCGGCGCCGTGCAAAACC